TTTCACATCTCTGTTTTATTACCTGGTCATGTGAGGTTCAATACTTCTTGTTTTATGCTGCACTTTGGTCAAAGAAACAAAATTGGAGAGTCAATCAGTCCCATTCCATAGGCAGTCACTATATCTTCCAATGCTAATTGTACTCCTTGACTGTTTACATTCTTCGATAAATTCAGAGCTCAATTATACCGAGCTTAGAGGAAGCAGCTGCTCTTTTACAGTTTTGGGCATGCTCCTATTTCTGAACATATAGACAAACAACCAAAAACCAAAAACCACCCTCTCTGTGTTCAGTACCTGTCAACTACCGTTCTCCTTCATCAAACACACTGTTAGGTCACTTATCTCCCACTAATGGTATGGCCATAGTAATGACCAAACAACTCTGGAGTTCTTGCTCACAGTCTTTCCATGATGGTAGAGGAGGCAAACAATATGCAGAGAACACAAAGAAGTGTGCCCTGTGTTTGGGGTTAGCCTCCATGGTAAGGATGATACTCTTCCAGTAGAGATAAGGATGTATAAAAGTCTAATCACCCTTTATATTTTTATGGGCAGTGTGACATAATCATCCCAGATCTGAGGGAAGAATGGAGGTTTTCTAGAGCAGCAATGGCTCAGGGGTGTAGATGTGTCAGTTTCTCACTTTAGCTCATATATTCTCCCTGTCCTGACCTTCCAAACACCTGCATTCTTGGAAATGATCAGGTAGAAATCTAGACTTGTTTTTTTTTTTTTTGTCTTAGAGAAGCTTCTGGAGGCTAAAGGCTAGACCTAAAACATTAAAATGAGTCCATTTCACTGTAGTTTAAACCAGTCCTTGCTGAAACAGCTTCTTTCCAGGAATACTCATCACAAACCCATGGACAAAACTCATAGAAGGAAAAATCCCTCATCTCACCTCTAAAAAATCAATTGTAAATATGTTCATGCCAACTGATAGACTGTAAATTAACTAGATGCCAGGTGATGATCAATATTAGAGTGCCTTAAATGTTTATCTCCTTGAATCCCATGACTTCATGCATAAAATGACTTTCTTAGTATGTTCTAAGTACATCCCATGTAGTTCTTAGAGTATCAACGACAAAATTCTATAAAACAGCTAGAATGTTCAGTAGTAGAGGGTTATATATTCACTTTATACAATATATAAGTGACTAGTAATTACATATGGCTTTAAAAATCTTGAGATTAATATTTATAAAATAAAGAACTGCTTATTATTTATTAGAAAATATCTATCAGAAACGTGGTATAAATTTGTGTAGTAGTGTACAGCTGTAATTCTAAGAGTAAAAAGAGTAAGCACAGAAGTCTCTGAGTATGAGGTCAGCCTGTGCTATATAGTAAGATACAATAACTACCTCGAAACAGCAATAACAAACAAACCAAAAAAAAAAAAAGAACATCAGAACAAATCATTACTCAAGGGAAAAGTATATACTTAGCATGCTTATTTTCTTTGATTTGGTTTCCCAGCACCATGAACATATCAGCAGTTAAACTACTCCATGTGGAATGACATCAATGTTCACAGTAAATATTATTTATAATTAAAAAGCTAGAAGAGGACATTGTGCAGGTGGGGAAAGGTAGGGGGTGAGGGTAAGGGCGAGGGTCCTGGCTTCTGGCATCTCCCCCTTCTCTGTTTAGTTAGAGAAGGCATCTTATGATCAATCCCAACTATGTGAATTTTGAATTTGGATGTCTAATTATGGGGGGTCTTAGACAAGTTCACAACCCCAAAACACTGATGTGAGACGAGTCACATCGATGGTCGAAGGTTTTAGGCTGTCGACGATGGGCAACGTCAAGGGACTGAAGCTTGGCAACTGCAAGATCCTGCTTAGCAACTGCAGATAGACTCAAAGCAGTGTACCATATCATCTTAAGAATAGCAGGGAGACCATAACTCAAGCAGTGTACCATATCTTCTGAAGAACAGCAGGTAGATCATAATTCAAGGCAGTGTACCGTATAGACCATGACATGTTTCAAGGCACAGGCCAAGAAGATTTTGTACTTTTCCACCATCTGGCCCCTCTTACCCCCTCCCCTTGTGAAACATGCTATAAAAAAGCATTTCATGTTCAAAAATAAATAAATTATTTATAAAAAAAAAAAGAAGAAAAAAAAAAAAAAGCTAGAAGAGTGTAAATGAAGCCAGTGGAAATGTGAGTGCTTTAAAGGCATTCCTAATACATACTTACCGCAATGAACATGATTCAAAACCAAGAAGTAACTTTAAATATAGTAATTAATAAGATTTCCAACAGCCTGTTTGAAAACCAGGAGCAGAGCAGCTTCAGTCCCACTTTATCCTAGTGCTTTAGCTAAGGACTCTGGTTTTGCTCTCTCTGCATTTTCTCTGTCTTCAAATGTCAATTATGGACATTACTTTTATAGCATCTGGCACAAAATGTTGCTGCTTTTCTTCGCTCTCAGAGTCAGCTTTCATTAAGCAATTTCCTCTTTTCGATTTGGTCAAGAGGAGGGGCAGAAAATCATGAGGTTGTGTATCACTCAGAGGAAAGTTAGTTCTGCCTTTCATCTTGGAGCCTCTTAGGAGATACAGGCCAGAAAAAGCCAACTTTTCCTCCAATTGGGAGATCAATTCCCTCCAACAGAATCTCATCAGTGTAGAGACACAGGTAACAATAGCTTCTTTTATTTTTTCTATCAAATGATAAAATAATTTCTAGAGAATTTCACATGGTGTGACATGAAAGCGGGATTAATGGGGAAGCCCTGTTGGTTGTGTTAGATCGATTAGGTTTAGTCTGGCAGCATGTGGAACCTTTCATTCTGTCCTGGTTATTTTTTTTTCACAGTATACTGGGAATTGTGTTGTATGCTGAAAAATTAAGGTAGAGGGTACTATGGTGTTCATTGTTCTTTAACTGCATCGAATATTTACATATTATCCATCTGACAAATGTCACAATAGGAACCAGGTAAGATGGATCAATTTGCAAAGGTACTTGCTACACAAACCTGATCTAATACCTGAGTCTGATCCCTGGGACTCACATGATGGTGGAGTAAGAGAACTCACTTTGTAGAGTTGTCTTCTGAATACGTGCACCTTGGCTCAGCCAGTTCCACTCTGAAAACAATAATAATAAATAACAATTTTCAAAGAGAATTGTTTAATGATAGGATTATTTTCTGCCAAGAAATAAGGGAAAAGTTGCATCACTTCAGAAAACGTCATAAATTAAAAATAAGAGAAGAATGATGTAATATATGCAGTTTGTCCTTATTTTCCACTGGCTTACATCTCAATTATTAAAGTAAGGGTAATATCAGTTACAAATACTATTTACTAATACATTGATATCTATTATCAGATTGTATCCTTCATGGGCATTACCTCATGTATGCTGCATAGTGACTGAATTTATTGTCATGTAGCCCCCTCTTGCAACACCATGTACAAGTAAGTATATGATATGTGATGTGGTTGTGTATATAGAATAATTTGCTATTAAAAACTTCATATTGTAACCTCTGTGCCTCTCTCTGTTGCTCCTACACCCCACCCAGCAATCTCCTCTTTCTACTTTTCTTGTTACTGTAGTCATTAAAGGTTACAGACCATTTCTGAAGACTTTGAGGCAGGAGCCTCAGATGAGAGAGAATATTCAGTATTGTCTTTCTGGGTTTGGTTTATCCTACTCAGTAGGATATTTTCTTGTTGAATCCATTTACCAAGTTCTAGCACAGAGAGGAATATTTAGACTACTGCCTGGTAGAGATTGTACATCTCAGCTGAATGTGGCTTCTACCTAAGAGATATCTATGCGACTTGGATCACTTGCAGTATCAACTTTCAAATATTCTTTTGAAGGTAGTGTCTGGGAAACTCTGAGAGACATGTATAAATAAAAAGACTGAAAGAACACTTAATATTCATGTGTTTATCAAAGTGTGTAAATAATCTTAAACCAACATTTTTATTTATTCCTAAATCTTTGACTCATTTTCATTTGGATAGATTGTTTAAAAGTTTGTCAATGATTTTCAGGATTGCCCTTCTTACCTAACTTTTTAAGTGCTGAATATTTTGAACAAACGGGCTAGGTCAATTTTATAATGACTTATTAGTAAATTTTTGATTCTTTCAATGTTTCTTAATAATAATTGCTGGGACTATTAGAAATATAAACAAGTTTAACACCAAAATGCAAAGTGTTTCTTACCTGTAATAGAAATTGGCGTCAGTCCATGTCAGAGTGTTTGAATCATTAATTTAGTCAGACCTCACCCTTTCCCAACCTTCTGTATCATCAGATCTAGGTACCTTCCTATAAGTGAACATTTCATTTTTTTTTTAGAAATAACTCAAGGCCACATTTTAACTGAAAAGTTGCTTCATACATCACTCCCAAGATGAGTGAGCAGGAGGTCACTTACTCAAGTGTGAGATTTCATAAAACTTCAGGGTTGAAGAACCAAGTGAGGCCTGAGAATACTCAAGGGGCCAGAAAAGCTGGCCACAGAAGTAAGTGTTTTAAGTATCTAAAAATCACATGTTTTTATGCATTTTAAAGTTTTAACAATTTAAAAATATCCTACTGCTGTCTATTGAAATCTATAATATTCCTTGGTTATGCACAGGGTAGGAGGGAAAAAGAATTTTATTTGGAGAGTAATCAAGTACAAAATTGTTCAAGGATAAATTTAAAAGATAAAGCAATCAAGTTTTAAAATTAAAAAATGAAAGAATTAGTATACTACTTCTGTTTAGTCGTTAGTCACTTACAAAATATATCTGATGAAGAGAATAGAACAAAAAGATTTCTTGAAAATCAAGGTGAGGTAAGAAATAATTAGGAGGTTTTGGTTTTTTATTTATTCTAGTCAAAAAAATTCTGAAAACTTTAAAACTAACAAACTAGAGTCTGAAAAGGGACCAAATTTCTAGAGAAACAAAATAACAAGAAAATGAAGCTTGTGTATTAGAAACAATGCTTTCATTCTCAAGGAAAATGTTTTAATTGTCATAAATATCTCTAACATCTCATGCAACAGGCAGCAACTGTTGTCCATAAGAGGGTGTCTCCAACATGAAATAAAACTGTAGATGAAGGAAGAGGGGATAAGAGGACTAGCACTTGTGGGAATGACTAAACCTAGTATAAATTCCTGAAAATGTCAAAGAATTATTTCATTTATTAATGAAAAAGCAGAAACATCACTTTTAATTTTTTTTAAAGTTGCTCTATATACACTGTCACAGCTCTGCTCCCGAGATTGTTTTCTTCTTCGATGTAGTGATAATCAGAAGCATGAAGTTTCTGATTCCAAAGCCTTAATAAGCCAAAATGTTTAGTCTTATTTAGAGCAAAATCAAACTTACAGGGAAAAGGAGATAGTTGACTTATAGACCTTTTCAAGGATGGGGATATAAACAGAGGTTCAGACCAGCTGTGGTTCCCTAACTGTTTTCAACAACATCCATCCTTTTTTCCTTCCTCTCCATCCTCAGTTATCTTTCTTGGTGGACTACATGCTCCAGTATGGTGTCTTTTACTTGGATTGTATCTAAGCTTCTAATGCCTTCTCTAGAATGTAGAACTGGGTGAGGGCACATGCCTATCATCCACCTACTTCTAGTCTGAGTCAGGAAGATCTACAATATAAGGCTAAAGCAGAAATAAGCTCAAAATTTTGTGAAACTTCACACATGTAGGATTTCATCAGTGGGAGTATTTTAGGTAGAAAACTACAATTTTGAGAGCACATTTTCAGTCTGTTTGTATCATTGACTTGAGCATAATTTCCCCTTGTTTTTGTGCTATATAAAATTGTAATTAGCATTGAGATGTACTCAATCGTGATCATTATCTTGCTTTTTTTGTTGGTTTAAGAGAGTTCAGTCCCCCAGAAGCTCATCGTGATAGCTCTTGGACTCCTCTGTTCCATTCTGCTGGTAACTGTTGCAGTGTTGGTGGCAAACAGTGAGTAATTGAGATACATCTTACTTAACCTTGAGGTTACATCCACAGAGAAGAAGGAGGAGGGGTGAGGGGATTGGGGGTTCCGGGGTGGGTGGGGGATGGGGTAAGGGGACAACATAGGAAATGTAAATAAAACATCCAATAAAAAAAAGAAAAAAAAAAGAATAGAATTAGACAGGAACTATGGAGTTATACACTCTGTCCATTATCCTGCCTATAATCACAGGATGAGGTCAGAATCTCTGGACTTTAATAACTTTTTCTGACACACTGCAGTGTTCTGCTCTCTTTCATACCTAATCTGTTAGCTCTGCGGCTCTTTCTTATTCTTGCTCATTCATGTTCCTTTTGAGGACTTGGTGGTAGTTTACCTTCTGAGCTCAGGTGATTGTTAAACTTATGTAAAATTTTTGTGCAAAACAGCTGTGCAAAGAACTTTATGACATTCTTTTCCTTCTTCTTTAATGTATACTGAGGTCATGGTTAAGTAAAGAAACAGAAACATTAAATGTTCAACTTTATTGTATTCTTTCACATTTACAGAGAAAAATCACTTCCACATTGTGCTTGTGAATATTTTGCATTTCATATGCTCTAATAACAATTTTCATATTTCTTTTTTTTTTCTTTTGGTTTTTCGAGACAGGGTTTCTCTGTGTAGCCCTGGCTGTCCTGGAACTCACTCTGTAGACCAGGCTGGCCTCGATCTCAGAAATCCGCCTGCCTCTGCCTCCCAAGTGCTGGGATTAAAGGCGTGTGCCACCACCGCCCGGCAATTTTCCCATTTCTTAAAGTTTTATTTTCAGTTCAAATTTTCATGGTGTGTTAAGTATTGGCTGAATATTTTACTTAGTATTTATTTGTAAATTTGTGTTGTAAAAGAATGAAGTACCTGTAAGTTACTTCCACCATAATTTTATTCAGCTGCATTGTTTATTTTACAGTCAACTTACCTATAGAGAAAAATTGATGTATCTGTTTCTATAATGAGATAATTGAAGTACTAATTTATAAGTGTTAAGTATCAATGAAAATAATGGTATGTGTTAGCTGTCAACATGAAACCTTTTCTTTAATCTTAAATTTCAATATGTATTTCTTATAAGAATTTTTGATATTATATCTGTGACTAATTTAGTTTTTCAGTATCGTCATGAAAAACATGAGCTGCAGGAAACTCTAAACCGCCAAAATAACTGCAGCACCATGCAATATGAGATTGACTTAAAGGAAAAACTGCTGAGAAATAAGTCTATAGAGGGTGGTCCAGGAAAGGAGCTTCTGGAATCCCTCAACAAAGCACCAAATAGATGGTACAGTGAAACCAAGACTGCTTTAAATTCCTTTCAGGACACAGGTATGTAGCAGGGGATGAACACGAATACAGAATTGCATTATCATCTATTGTTTCTCTTATGGAAGCTTTGAAGTCCAAGAAGCAGCTTAAGATGCTGGTGATCTTGGATCAATCATTAGGGGTCCCTTATTCTATGTGAGGGCCTGGAAACCCAGAAATCCCTGTTTGGGTTAGGACAATTGTAGAGTTTCCAGAAGTCAGTGTCTGTTTGGAACTCCTACTGCTCCCTGGGCATGGAATTACAAATCAGTCTTCCTGAGAATTTTGTTTGGGTCTACAGGAAAATCTGATTCTTAATCTTGTTTTTGACAAAACATGGAAATTCTTAGTAAGAGTGTATTTATCTACTATTTTTGCTAAAATACTTAGAACATTTATACGGATGTACCTATAAAAACAATGATGTATAAGTGTGTTTGTGGATGCGTGCTTTTTTTTTTTCCATCTGACTTGTTTTGAGAGATTTGGTCTCTTTGTAAAAAAAAAGATCCTCCCTGGATCAGACAAAGTAGATTCTCCATGGTGTGCACACATTTCTAATCTGTCTGTGACACAGGAATAAGACAGGATAGCTGAAAATATCAAGTGTCACAAGCAATCTTTCTTGTTCTTTATTGTGAGTAGTTACCTTTAACTGACACAGTTTATCTCTCAACATTAAATATTTATTTTGGTGGGATTTAGAGTTTATGAAGAACTCTTGTATATAATCTCACCATGCTGCAGTAGTAGGATGTGACGATTCTCATTATGTAAGGACTAATATTTTTAAAACTGCTACATTATAAAATTTGTGCAGGAATAAAAAAGATCCAAAAATATTGTTGAAGTATTCCACACCCTTGAAAAAGGTTTTGTGTCATTACTTTAAAATAACTTAATTATTTGTGAAGGGCAGAATAATGATGTAATCCCTATGATTATGAGGTTGAGAGAAGAGGAATATAACTATAAGGACAATATGGACATTCCAACAAATTCCAGGCCAGCATGAGCTAAACAATGATAATCCTTCACAGAAAAATGAAGGTTGGAGAAAATGCTGTTAATAGAGCATGGTCATTCCCTGTGTCACACTAAGCACAATATCCATATTGAGGAGATCTTGCAACACAAACTGCACAAATGTTAATGTATTCAACTTGAATTATTTGGGGTTGTGGGTACACACTGAAGGCATCGACATACTCAGGGTATCAACATCATATCTTCTCTCTCGTATGCCTCTTATTTCTCTTACGGTAACAGAATTTAACACAGACCATGGCACAATACGAAGTGCACAGTAATGTGTGGACCACTGTGGGCACAATGCACTACGGCAAATCTACAATTATGTCATCAGTTTAATTGCCTCTGAGTAGCAAGTGCTCATTTCCTGCCCTCCAGTCCTTGGTATTTCGCAAGTGTCTCCTTCATAGAACTAGGCAGATTTTAGAAACCTAATCTGAATGAAATCATAAAGTGTGGTCCTAGGCCTGGTATATTTCACTTTACACACTATCCGCAAATTCATCCATGTTTGTTATATAGATCAGCATATCTTTTTTGAGATTAATGTGAGACATGATAACATTGTGTAGCCCAGGGTGACTTGGAACTCATAGTGTAGCCAAGGCTGGCCTGGAAGTTTTTACTTAGCCTAGGATGACCCCAAACTGGTAGTTATCTTCCTGTCTTTCTCTTTGGAGTGCTTAGATTATAGGCATAAGTCATCATGCCCAGCTGATTCATTTTCCTGTAAGGACAAATAGTATTCTTTTGTGTGTGTGTGTATGTGTGCTACATTTTCTCTATTGATTCATCCATGACTTGCACAGGAAATGTTTCTATTTCTATAGTATTATTAACAATTCGCATAGCTCATGGGTGTTGTTAGGGGTCTCTGGGCATTATACAGTCTCATTTTCTGAGACCTGTGAGATTTTACCTCTTTCTCTCTCTCTCTCCCTCTCCCTCTCCCTCTCCCTCTCCCTCTCCCTCTCCCTCTC